AGAAATTTCAATTGTCTCTTTCTGATGTTAAGTATAAGTGTCCTTTTTGTTTTCATTTTCTCTAAAATTTCGTAATGGCTCGCATGTTCAGTACATTGTATTCTTCTTCTGTAGAATCACATTTATATTGTCTTAAGTCTTTTCATCTTTGAGGAGGTTGTCCAGTATTCACTACCATATAGGAGGACTGATTTTTCATAAAGTGACTTAAATTCAAAAGTTCAGTAGTGAAATGTTCCAGTTTCTTAATACTTGGTTTTTGGAAAGCGACCTGCGTTAACCGAATGCACCTCTGGGTTTTGGTGTTGCAGTCTTCTGTTAAAACACTTTCCAGATATTTAAATTGTTGTGCTTGCTTGTTTTGGTATGTCTAATTTATATGTTGGATTATTCCTTTTACTGATAAATATACAATGTCTTCTTGCAATTGATGTTTAGTCCTCGTTTTCCTTCTCTACCTTCTGTCGGAGTTCTTGTTTCATTTCTGTCTGCTATCAATTGGCATATCTCATGTTAAGATTTTATCCACCAATAATAAGTTCCTGGTGGAACTTCTCATTGTGTCAGAATTGCCTCATTTTAAAGGTTGAATAAGTCCGGTGAAAAGACACATCCTACATTATTGAATTCATTTAATAGAAAGTTTTTTTTCTTTACAGTTCGTTGAAAGGTTTTAAAGTCTACACAAGATACGAATACTCAAATTCATAGTCTACTTTTTGCTGTTATTAGCTTGTTGTTTCGTTTTTGCCTCAGAGGTAAGAAAAGAAGCCTTGTTCGAACTGAAATTATTAATGTTACTAGAGGTTGTGTCATTGGATGACTATAAAGTCACTACCATTCATGATGAGAGTATTTTTAGTAGTTGCACACGTGAAAGATGGAGGATTAACATCGTTGATGTATTTCAGTTGTGGTCATTTGAGTAGATTCAGGAGAACTGGATCAACCACTGAAAAGCATTTTATAACTCTTATGAGGGTTTTTGAATTTAGTTGTCCATTTTTTTTTGGAGGGGGGGAAATCATGTGACATGAACTCTTTAAACCAACATAATTGGTATAAATTTTATATTTCAAACCAACTGTTATGGTCAACTAACCACTTCGCATATCACCACAAAATAAAACATGAAAATGCTTCATCTTAGAATATCAAAAGTTTCTTTCATTAATAAAGCTTAATTAGTATTTATTTGCTTACATCTTAATTTCTAGTTGTATTTTATCACAATTTCTGAATAAAAATACACCCCTTATACTCAATGTAAAAAGCGGATTTACTTACCTGGTGCCCACGAGTTTAGTCTCTGGGTCGAGTATTGTACAAAAATTACACCTGACAGAAACGGTCATATGAAGACATGAAAGACGGTAAAGACAAAAACAAGAAATACCACCTGAAACGTGATATTTAAAATAAATAAATAAAAACGTCTTTGAAATTGGCTAGTGTTAAACGGAATTGCTTAGACATAGGAAATTATATTTACAATACAAACTGGAAATCAGAAAAAAATTATTATACCAACAATGACCTTTTGTTGTTTTGTTTTTTCATCAATCATGCGTAGATGAAACATTGCTGCCCAAACACACCTAATGACCCAACAGAAAAATAAAGTGACATTACGAGGATGAATTAACAGAGACGAATTTAGCATAGACTGTAAAAAAATACTCTACCTCTGGATTCAATAAAGGGTTTAGTTTGGAATACCAGGAAGGTTATCAAGCACAATAGATAGGAAGAAGGCCAGAGGATACAGCGGCTGAAACGTGATAACCAAGATGAGAACATTAATCAGAGTACATTAGTGTATAATAGTCAAAATTATGAATAATTCTTGACAGTGCCTTATGAGAATATAGATTAGTTCCATAAAGAAAAAAAACTGCCAAGTTGTGTTGAGTATCAGGCAATTTGAACTGAACTTGTTACATAAAATATAACTTTTCCTAATAAAAATTTAATATAGTTTCTGTAAATTATTAAAAGGAAGTCTGAGATTTGCATAATGCTTAATTTTCAAACTAATCATGCTTAAAACAAAAACAAGGGTAAATGTTAATTTGTAGCAGTAATTTGAGATTTTTCATCTGAGCTATAACAACTCTTCAAAGAAAAACAATGCAGCATTATGATTAAATATACTCTCATAATGTAGATGCCTTTTGGTGAATTGTTGCAGTCTGTACTTGTTCAAAGTCTAGTTCTCTAAGACAGTGCTACTTGAAGTGGTGGTCAGCAAACCATCAGCTACTAGTACACAGCAAGTGTCAAGGCCATGCTAAGGAATCATTTGTAAAGATTAACGTTATATAACTTTTTGTGTTAATAAACTGCTTATTTATTTTATTTTTTATTACTTTTTATGTTTTGATATTGTATTATTTTTTTTGCAAAGTAAAGAGTCAATTTATATATATTTCCAGTATAAATTAATATTAACATGAAATTACAGGTATACAACACATTGAGGAAAAAAAAAAAAAAAAAAAAAGAAATGCTGGTCTGCCATATAGTTTGAGAAGGAGCTTATAGTAGGACACTTTTCCAATCAGATCATTTGGATGAAGGTTGATTTTTGTTAGTGGTGGTGGTTTATTTTCTTAACTCACCATCTCTTGCATGCTACATTATTGGAAAGTATCCACTTTTCATCATCTGTCACAATTTTAAAATAACTTATTTAAGCAGTATACCTCACAGGGAAATACAATCAAGTACACATTTTCACTTATGTGGAAGCCAAAATAATGTTTGGTTTATAGTATTTTGAATACGCTATATCCTGTGTAGTATAATGTTGATTATCATCAGTCGTGGTTTTATCAATATCAACGATCACAAGACTCGTCAATTGTGAAATACCCTTCAACAAGAAATCTATAAGACTTTCCAAGCTACTTTTGACACAAACATTGAAAACCATGAATTGTATTATGAAAAGAAAAAAGACATGCTGAAAGTATTAACTTATTTTCTATTAAAGAGGAAATAAAAATGAATTTGACAAAACATTTTACCATGCACACAGATGAATCATACAATCTTTTTGAAAGGTTTGCCTATTGTTTGATTCACTCCCAGTAATGCCTTGTATCTTAGTGGCATTATCACCTTGTTTGAAGGAGAGGACCAGAATGTACATTTTAAATTTCTTTTACTCACTTTATACACAGCAAATTAAAAGCCACTACATTGAAAACAATCCCAGATAAGATTGTTACATATTTCCACTAATGTTCCAGACTCAATTTGCTTATCAACTGCCATACAAGACAAAATTCATCCTTGTCATAAAAGCCAAAATGGATTTAAAGAGATTCTACTTCAAGTAATTTTATCTATATATCTTTATTTTTAAGAAAATGTCTGACTATACATGAAATAGTAAAGACATTTTAACCAGTATAATGCTAGTCAAGGATTTATAAAGATTGGACCTTATTCCAACAAGAATAAGTTAACACTGTAGCCTCACATTGTTTGTATATAGAACATGCTTTTTTTTCTTTTTCTAAAAATCTCAATTTTAGAAATCAATTCTTACACTATATATATATAAATTGTAAAAAAAATATTGACATTTCTGAAGTGATAGGCACACAAAACCAGTACCACACCTTCAATAGGCATTCTTAGTAGATTTTATTAAAATGAAGACAGTTAGGAATAAGAACAGTTTTTCTTCATTTAGAGCAACTTCTTTCAATGTTATTACTCAGAACAGGTAAAAAAAATTTCAACTGCACTAGAAAACTAAATTTTATTACTTTATGAAAGAGCTATGGGAGGTAACTCTTGACACATTTCCTGAATAATGCAATCAAACTGTCTGAAACCTACAATCAAGTTTGGCCAAAGCTCTATTAGTCATAATGCCAATATATAACTGGCTGCATAGGTGTGCTAACTTTTTTTTTTATTTTATTAAATGAAGGGTAAATTCAAGGCAAATTTCCCGGATTCAGTTTGTAAATGTGAGGTAGATTAGTTTTAAGTACTAATACATTTAAGTTAACCTTTTTATTTTTACACCAGCCATAGTATTTGGCACAAAATAAGCAAGCTATATATATATATATATATATATATATATATATATATATATATATATATATATATATATATACACACACATTGGAAAATTGTGTATATTTTTTAAAACCTCATGTAGCCAGATCATTTACCACATGAATAATCAAATTGCAACGTACTTCCACTGCATGTTGGTGGTGGGCTATGTGATAAAGGATATAGAATATTTTTTTTTTTCTTCTTTCAAACCAGGTATATTGAAGTAAAGAGTTTTGAAATTCATTTTCCTCATCTCATTAAAACATCCTCATGCAAGTTTTTGAACCATGCTTTTCATCTTTGGTTTCATTTATTCTATGCAAATAAAGCAGGTAAATCTGGATTCTAGTCCCAAAAGTTTTTGAATTTGGCAAAGATTATTCAGCATTGAACCAAGTTATACCAACGAATTTTTGTATCACCAATATTGTCAAAATGATTTTTTTTATAATGCCTGTTTATGCAATTTCACTACTTTATGACCAAAGCAGAGCACCTAAAAACCAAGGCTTCCTCTAGTCCCAATATGAAGATTGATCTCTACACTGATGGCTTGCAAGACTAGCTAAGCAGCATGCTGCTGCATATATAACTGTATTCAAATAATGAAAAGAGGAAGCATGAAAAACTGTGTATTGAAGTAAAAATTCAAACTTCAGACTATGATTTGATAAAAATACTACAGAACTGATATTTACCAACGTATTCTAATATTTCCATCTTAGCTGGTCTATAAAAGAAATGTAAATTTCAAATGAAAGCATATCAAGAGAAAAGTTGAGAAAGTGATGTAATCACTAACACCAAATACCTCATTTGGAATGTAGCCCAAATTTGGAATGTAGTTTTTTTCCTTCTAACAACAAAAACAGCCAAATATAGAAGCAAACACTATTTATTGATTATTGGCATCTTTTTTACACTCTTTCTTCTGGTTTGTTAAAGACGTATGTCAAATAACATTTGCCACAATAGTGTCTGTCAAAGTGGGAAGCCATGAAAACACCGCCACCACATTCTTCATTTGGGCACTCACGACGCAAGCGAGTGATTTTACCATTTTCATCAACCTAAAAGATAAAAAAGAAAATTCAAGTAGTTTGGGCAAACCAAAATAGGAAAACTGAAACTAAAGAAATTTGTGTTGCTCAGATTTATATAAAATACAAATCAATAATTCTCAGAAGTGTCCCAAGATGTCATCACAGCAACTTATCGATCATTAACCCTGAAATATAAAGATATTAAGAGAAATAGACATGTAACAAAAAGTCTGTAAATTGCAGCTCCCCTCCACAAACAAGTACCTTAAGCTTAATATACTCATGAAGATTCATAAAAAAAAAAAAAAAAGAAAAAGTCTGAAATGAAGAGCAAAGCTTCATCGCCAAAACCTTTATAATTAAAAGATTACAAAAAGATTTTTTGTTCATTAAATGATAGTTTTTAACACTTTAGAAGCTTTGAAATTTTGGTTACAAATCTTAGTACAGGAAATCTCAGTGTCTTTTTTGTGGTGAAAAACACAAATTTGGAAATCTTGTAAAAATCAGATAGTCTTGAATTTTAATGAAATGGTTAGGATTCATTTACAAATGAATTAAAATTATTTTAGAAAATCTTTGTATCCCCCCCCCCCAATTATATATATGCAATTTTAAGAAATTGAGAAATTCACTTTTGTAGCACTTAATATTCATATTAACTATAAGTACATGCTCTAGGAGTAGGGATAGAATTAACCCCCAGTAAATCTTTTGAGAGAGAGAGAGAGAGACACACAACAATTATAGAATTTGGCCTATCAACTGGGGGGAGGGAATGACATTCTGACAAAGGGTGAAAAGGGGTGCATATTAAATTGAATCTATTAGCTTGGAATCAAAACTAAAATAAAAGCTTCATTTTTAACCTTTAGCACTTTTGCATTCTTTTTCAGGCCCTCTCAATTGCAGTACCCTTATTGTTAATTTTATTCAAAGTTGTTTTCTGTTGCCATAGCAGGATATGATAACTATTAAATTCAAACACTATTGTTCAGTGATCAGTTACCGTCAGTGGCAGAATAAACTTTTTGTATCGCAAAGTCAATTACATCGATAAAGGTTAAAATGCATTTTAAACATCACCTTTTGAGGTACCCAGCTTAATGCAATATATTTTTGCTATCATTAACGTTTAATCACCAGTAGATTAAGAAAATTTTATTTTAATTTACTAGGAAAATAAAAGACCCAACAATTGAGTCAATGAAGTTATTTAATTGGAGAATAGTCTACTTAATGAGAAATTCTATCCCCAGTCAAAAGATGGGTGTTGTCTCCATGTTCAGAGACTATGGAAACTTTTGTATGCATCCAATGTTTTTATTGCTACTGTAACATCTCTACTTTGAAATCAAATTCTTTACAGATGTGAAAGAAAGAACCCTAAAAATATAACTTTTCCAATTCCACACTGCTACAATTTTCAGAATAGGTATTCCATTAAATAAGATACTTCATTTTTGAGAAAGGAAAACAGATTCTGCATACCCATTTAAAATTTCAAGAAGTCTGCAATGACTTTTACATAGATACCCTTACTTACAATTCAAAAATTTAATCCATAGGTTTTTTTTTTTTTTAGTTTGGTTGACATAACCTGGTTTGAGAGCTTGAATCTTTGTAAAACGGATTATGAGGAGCCAAATTACTTTGATATAATATATGTTTCAAAGGATATGTCACCCAATTTACAAAAAGGGATCCAACAGAAGAATAATACCTTGTAATATTTCAACACAGCCAATTTAACCTTCTTCTTCTTATGCTTGTTCTTTTTTGGAGTTGTGTAATTCTTCTTCTTTCGTTTTTTGGCACCACCACGCAGACGAAGGACCAAATGGAGAGTAGATTCCTTTTGAATATTGTAATCAGACAATGTACGTCCATCTTCAAGCTGTTTTCCAGCAAAGATCAATCTCTGTTGATCAGGAGGAATACCTGCACAAGAAATAGTTCTTTATAAACCAAAGATTAGGAAAGGAAAGGATTTAAATATTAAAAATAGTTCCCAGTGTTAGCCTAGACAAAAGATGAGAGGAAGTTAACTGTAACCCAGATACATGAACACAAATCAGACCACTATCCCCCATGGCCAATGGACATTTTCATTGATCCAGAGAATGGCGATAGTTTACAATTAATTTAGGGTCAAACAAAAATCTACTGCTATAGCTAACCTGTGGCAAGCCCAAAATATTAAATGCACCAAACAGTCCCTTTAAAGGGGAGTTTTTGCAAACTGTAAGGAGTACACCCCAAAAATCGTATAGACCATTTGTAATCTTTAAGAATTTTTTTTTCTTTTGTTATTCAGAAAGCTAAAAGTAATCACACCAATAACATTACATTAAAAGAAAAGAAAAAAAAAAAAGTATATTTATAGGTTTTAAAAGCAAAACATGCAAATTAGCAAGAACTAAATTTGTCAAGAGACAATTTTAATGTTAATTTTACATAATACGTTCACAGAAAAATCAACTTACATATATTAAAACAAGTCAATATTTTCAAAAAGTTGTAACAATTTAAAAATCAGAATTAAGTGACGAGTAGAGAACATTTCAGTTAATTTGCTCAGATACGTTTCAATGAAGTCAATAAGGATTCAGAAGTGTCCCAAGATGTCATCATTGCAATAACTGAAAAAAAATCTAACTACAAGATCTGTTAAAATCTATATCACCTGATATTTGCTAGTAACTTGAATACAAGACTGATAAATTAAACTTTATTCTTGTTCATAAAAGGATTTAGAGTTTTATGGAAGATGGTGTGGGTGAGTATAAAATATCCTATAAAGAATATTTCCTTCTCACCCAATTCACAAATGCAGATAGAGCTATTAACAAACAAGTAGATATTAAAAATATTAATTCAGGTGCCTTCACAAGCTACATACATACCTTCTTTGTCTTGGATTTTAGCTTTAACATTTTCAATGGTATCACTGGGTTCAACCTGAAGAAACAAAACATTAAAATTAAAGCATTATTTCACACACACTATATATATATATATATATATATATATATATATATATATATATATATTGCAAGAGCCATCAATGCAATCTAATAGATCAGGAAAAATAAAAATGTAATCATTTATAAAATCAGGTGAAACACGGATAAACATCATTTCATTAGATTGCATTTGTTAAACACTATTAATTGACCAATGAATATGAAACTGAACTGTCAAGCTTTACAATCAAATATTGATGCCTATAGGTTAATATTTGAAAAAAAAAAAAAAAACCTACCAGGGATAACTTTTTACAGTTCCAAAATTAGGACTAAAAAGATATTTTGAGTTGAGATTTCATATTTTTATCACTTGGGGATCAAAAGAAATAAGTGTTTTAGTTTGTAATTACATATCACTACAAAGTTTTTCATAAAATCGTTCAGAGATCTACTCACCTCAAGAGTGATGGTCTTGCCCGTGAGGGTCTTCACAAAAATCTGCATCTTTGCTCAACTGAAAGAGAAAAAGATTAATGAAGCACCAGGTAACTCCAAACGGGGAAACATCTTTGAATTATGAACTAAGTTTCATTTTTTTTTTATTTACTGTAGTGATTAAACGAAGGAGGATGCGGTAGCAAAGACTGAATGCTGATTTTCTAGACAAACAGACCTTCATTTCAAAGTTGGCGCAACACAATGCGCTTTTCTTTAAATTAAACGTAGAATTAAGTGATGAGCAGAGAACATTTCAGTTAATTTGCTAAGCTAGTCTCCCTTATGAAGTCAATAAAGATTCAGAAGTGTCCTAAGATGTCATTGCAATAACTGGAAAAAAAAAAAAGACTTACACTAAAACACCTATACAAGGACATTAGATTATATTAAACACGAGGGTGAAATGCGTGAACTTTAATTCAGATGACAAAAAAAAAAAAAAAAAAAAATCAACTTGAACCAAGACTTCTCTACATCGAAAGATAAATTCGGTCAGGTTTTAAAGCCATTTCTAGTATTAACTAAAAAGTTAAAATATTACAAAGTACCAAAACATACACTAAAAACATTGAAGAGTTCGTCGATAAAAGTAACTTAAATAAATCAGAAATTTCACTAAGGAAGTCTCAGATTTGAACAAAATCTTCGCAAGCGACCTTAAAAATGATATCACGGTTTATTTTCAAATGGGCATTAAAAGGAAAAACAATTTAGAATCGAATATATATATAAAAAAAAATCAACTAATTCAAAACTAAATAGAAAATAACATTTTCCGTCTACTAAAGTTAATTACAGCTTATTTTGCCTAATCATGACATCGGATTCCACGTGCGTTGCGGCCATGTTTTAAGGAACTAACATTATGGGTCAGTAGAGTTCCAAGTAAAATTCAGGTACAATTTAATCAAGTTTGTAATTTAAATGTTTACTTTATTATTAGTAATTAAGGGTTTAATTTAACTGTAATAATTAAATAAGAAACATCATTGAAATTGTCACTAATAATGAAATATCAACAAAATTTACTTTGATATTTATAGCTTACTTGATGAGCTTTCAGACTCACATTATCCACTAATTCGATTACTTTTCACGTAATTTCATAAAACATTACACAGTAAAGTATTTGAAAGAAGAAAAAAAAATCGGCGCCATATAAAAATTCGAACAACCATTCTATTTTGTTAGTGTTGACTTTAATAAACCTGGAGAAGTAATTTGCTTTTTAAATTGTGAACTACATATAATTAATCAATAATTATTTGCAAATAATACAAAAATAACAAACAAAACGGTTTATGCCGACTATTAAATAATTACAAATCAATCTTATTTAACGGTGATGCTTTTTAGCCGTTCGGCAGACAAGGCAATCAATCCACCGAGAGAAATTACGCACATTAAACAGAAAATGGATAAGCACAGTGGTATTTTATGAGCAAACCGAACTGAAAAGCATCAAGGAAAAAGCTTTCCATTAAGAAAAAAAAAAAAAAATCCGATAAACTTGAAGAAAAAATCTGAGCAACTCACGCACGAGGGTTTGCCACGAAGAGATCGGCGTATAAAGGAAGGAGCCTCGGTTCGAGTTTTATTAATCACGTGATAAAATGTCTACTCTCAAAGCCATGCAAAATTATTTATTTTTCTAACTATAAATAACAACTTTCGATGCAAAACGTCATAATACATTTGTTCTTTTAATATATTTTTATTAAGATAACTTTTGTATATGTAAGGGAATTTCGAATATATTTACAAATCGATTTTATCGAACTTTATAGAAAGTTGTTTGGATATATAGTCTTGAACCAAAATGCGTAAAATAATGTTTTAAAACAATTATAGTTTTTAAATCATAACATATTTTTAGTCATAAAATTTAACCATTAAGTGTTTATATACGTTTATAAAAATATTCAATGAATATGAAATCTCTTAGCAGACGATTCGGTTTGCATTAGTTTCTTGTGTAATGGCGGCCAAAGTGAAGCCATCTCGGTTGGAAGCAGAGATAGAGAAATGTAGGGCCGAATGTTGCTGGCAGAGGGCACTAGAGTTTGCCAGACAGCTTGTACACAAATCTCCAGGACTGGGTAAATATTTATCTGTATTAGTCTTCAATTTTAGTAGTGACTGGCTGATATGGAATGTGTAAGAAGATAATGCGCATCAGGTCTTGTTTAAAAAAGTGTGGCAGATCCAAGTTTATGATTTTTAAAAAATCTAATAGTCGGAAATATGATTTTTTTGTAAATAAATTTAGAGATAAATTATTGCGAATGTTTGATTTCATTACTTGTCCTTCTTTCTTTCTTGATATTCCTCTGCCGATCATATGATAGAACTTTTTTCTTTTAAACAACAAACAAGGTAAAAAAGAGGACGTTTTTTAAATAAATATTTCTCCTTTGACTTTGCTAATTGAAGTCGGCTTGGAAAAAAAAACTAACAAGTTAGCATATTTAGTTATGTTAAATATTAAATGTTTATTTAATTTTGTTTTAATTGTATATGAGTTGGAAAATGCACACCAAAAATGAGACATCGGTCTATTTGGCTAATAATGTGTTGGTAAATGAAGAAGACAATGACGTTTGAACCGTTTGTTTATGTTTTTTTCTGTGATTAAATACTAGGCTTTTCCAAAAATGACATGGGAAAACTCCTTGATGATGAAATGATAAAAATTTATAAACTGTAAAACTATGAATAGAAAAACTAAAACTTGTTTTTAATGCGTTTTGCAACGACGATTGTGATGGTCTTTACCTTTACTCTTTGAAGGAAAGGAAAACTAAAAAGTAGGAAGTTCTGATTTATTTTGTTTTTGAAGGTTGTAAAATTAAAAACATAAAACAAAAGAAATAATGAAAAACCATTATCCAACTCATTATTGTGCTACCATCAACATATCCAAGAATTCAAGTCACTAATTTCAAAATGTTTTTATTGTGTAATAAATGTAAGCAATATTTTTAATCATTTCATCCTAAGCAAGGCAATAAAGCCACTAAGATGCAAGGTGTTATTGAGTGTTAGAGAATATGAGAAAAAAAAAAAAACACTATCAAAGAGAAGAGTAAAAAATAGGAATTAAAATTAAGACATTGCATTTAAATTTTTGAAGATTAAAGTTGTCTGGGAAGCAAGAGCTACCATTTCAACTATAAAATGATGAGACCTTGCCACCAATCTAGTACTGTGCTTAAAAATTCATAAAGTCTAGGTACCGTAGAAGAAAATTCATCAGAACAATTACCATGAAAGTATTTAAAAGGCATTTATGTTGCAGTGATAAGCTATGTAAAAATGAAACAAAGTTAAACTATTTTTTACAAATTAAACTCAATTTTTGAATGATTACACTTATCAAAAAATAATTTTGTTTAAAGTGTTTAACATTTTTCTTAGAGCATTATTGATCTTATGGATCTTAAAAAAGAAAAGTAAATAAGAATGTTCAAAAAATATAAATGATGTATATATATAGTTTATGAAAAACTAGGTAATCCGTATGGGTAGACCCAAGGAGGATAAAATCCAGTGAGCTCAATGTAAATCCAGAGCAAATAATTTAAATAAAAATTAAGTAATTTTAAGTATGAAAGAATAGAAATATTAAATTACATCTAACTCACTCATGTCTTCTCTCTCCCCCCTCACTTCCTCACTTCACATATGCTTAATACGGCTCATCAAAAATTTCTTTTCATTTTTTGTGTCCACCTTTGGAAGTAAAGTCTGATGATCTGCAGTCCTTTAAAAGGGCTGTGGTGAAATAATTTATTACATGGAACCTTAAAGTTGTCTGTTTTTATTTAAATTATATATATATATATATATATATATATATATATATATTATAAGATCTTATTAGAAAGGATATTTTGGTGACTTATCCACAAGTGTGGTTTTTGCCTTATGCTCATCAGGGTGTGAAAAATTATTTTTCACATTCTGAAATGTACAACCTGATGTAAAAGTGTTATAGTGGAACACACCTATTCTATAGTTAATAGACTCTCCCACCTATAATGAGTAGTAGTAGTAGTCGACAGTGAGTTGGTCAGTCAGTCAACTGGCTGATCGGTTGAACTTTCTGCCTTCGGGCGGGGAGGAACCCAAAAGAGGCTATGTCGAAGGGCGGATTCTCTTTCGGGGAGGTGAACCGACCCTGAACCCGTTTATACGCGTTCAATGGGCATATTTTTGGCCGAGCCCACAAGCTTGGAGATCCCACGTTAAACCGGCCTTGTGCCACATGATGCCCTCGTGGGTGGGTGGGGGTGACTAAATATCGAGTTGGTCAGTCAGTCAACTGGCTGATCGGTTGAACTCTCTGCCTTCAGGCAGGGAGGAACCCAAAAGAGGCTATGCCGAAGGGTGGATTCTCTTTCGGGGAGGTAAACCAACCCTGAACCCGTTTATACGGGTTCAATGGGCATATTTTTGGCCGAGCCCACGGGCTTGGAGATCCCACGTTAAACTGGTCTTGTCCCACATGATGCCCTCGTGGGGGGGGGGTGACTAAATATAGAGTTGGTCAGTCAGTCAATGTCAGACGACCATTAGTCGGATATTAAAGTATCAGCCACCCCAACTAGATTACTGCGTCATTACCTATTATATCAAGTTCCTAACGTTTTGTACGTTGAACCTATTTTAGGACCAACTTAGTACAAACACAAGCCTCCCCTGTGAAACCACTACATAACAAAAAGGATTTTTAGGAGAGAGGAAAAGAGAGAATATCAAGTCTCTTATCCTAAGTATTATAAATGACACAAATAAATAATCACAAAACTCACTCTGGTTTGAAATTTGAAAAAAGTTTATATTTATTTAATGACATTAAAAGTAATAATGCCAAAACCCTTATGGTCATCAGACAAACTAGATTCTTTAAATCTGCTTTGAATTTAATCAAAATTTGAAAACCAAGGGGGCATAACTTACCATTTGTTAGAAAAAAATCACAAAATGTACCTCTTTAAACCACACTTATTCACAAACTTTGTTTAGGTGGATTTTGAGATGCTCAAACTTGATTCTTATCTTTTTTACAAATTTTTGAAGACCAAATTTTATACATGTATTTTTTTTTTTAACTTTATTTCGGTGATTATTTTACAACATCAATTTGAGCCTCACATATACAGAGTTTTCCACATCAAATTTTATTCAAGCTATTTTTTATTAACCGTCTGTAACATTTTATAGCAGTTTTTTTATATATATGTTAGTAATTTTCTTCTTTTAATAAATGTTTATTTTAAAGAGAGTCCTTGCCAAAGGAAACAAACTTCATCTTATATTATTTTTTATTTACCCTTTAATTATTTTTATATAATTTTACACTTTTTTTTTTTTATAATATAAATTTTTATAGATGAGACTAAGGTGTAAATATATCAGTGTGGACATAGAAATTAACACCACATGGTGACTAGCAGTTTCATTAGATTTTAAGTGATCATCAGAACATCTTAATAATTTTGTACCATCTTTCAAGCAACCTCATAATTTCATCCTTCCAGAAATTATCTTTCTCGGCAAACTGAAATTGTTTTTTCATTAAGAGAATTTTGTAATAGACTGGAATAAATAGTAATCAAAAATAAAAAAAAAATCTGATGTATATGACGGTAGATGAAAACTTCCCATTCAAGTTGCAATAATTTATTATTGTCCAATTCTTATGCTTTTTCTGTTAATTAATTTGAAACACATTTTGTCAATTGTTGCCTTTGATTGGTCTAAAGCAGTACTTCTTTGAATTGTTTGCTTTTCTGGAAGAGGTGCATAGTACAGAACTCTCGTTCAATTCCACCATATAAACAGTATCACTTTCTTTGGATGAAGACTGGTTTTCAGTGCTGTTAGTAGGAGAGGAGGTCATTTTGCCTGCATTATCATCTTTAAATTCTGGGTTTTTGTAAAGTACCTACTTTTCAATGTCTGTAACAATTTTTTTTTTTTTTTTTTTTTTTAAATCTATATGGAAGCCACACATCAAAATGACTAACATAACCAGGCTGGTGCAAGTTATTTTCATCACTTGATTTGGATAGTTTTAGTAAATTGGCTGTCTCTCAAGTCATATAAAATTTATTTATGTTATTGTTATTAACTTCAACTGGTCTACTTGACTGTGGAGTATTGTTCAGCAAGAAATCAATATAAATTTGACAAAATACTTAAAAAAATCCACACTGATCTGATAGCTGTCACAATCCTTTTAATTGAAGTTAGTTAAAGCTCTCTCCATGCTGTATGACGACAAGCAAAGAACAAACTTTATTTTATCCAATAAAAAGAATTATCAATTAACTCTACAAAGAAAAGATATTAAAAAGTGTCAAAAGAACTATCAACTGTCATTCAGTCAGTTATATGCCATGCGTGATACATGCTTAGGTGATCATGTATCTTTTGATACATGACTGACGAGGCAGATTTTTTCCCCACAGTAGGTTGCCATTTCTTTCTGCGGTAGACCAGTTGCCATCCAAGGTTATAGAACCCGGTCTGTCCAGCTATTTACCTAGAGCTGGTGAGGAGAAGAAGATTCATACCTTTCCCAAGGGTATTAGTACGTAAGTGAATGTTATGGATTTGACTGGAATTTGAACTCCTGCTCTCTGATTCCTCAATCCGAGCTGCAATCCATTACTCCACCATAGGGAAATTTTAAAAAAAAAAAACAAAATATGGTGGAAATTGATGAAAAAAATATGACATTTCATATAGATTAAAAATAAATAAATGCAGAACAAGACAGGTACCATTACTTGTGTTTTTTTTTGTTTTTGTTTTTTTTTTAAATCATTTTCAAAGAAATTAAATTATTTTCAATGGTGGGTGGTTGGTTCAAGCTAATTTTATATTTGTCTACTTATTAAAGAAATATGTTTCACTTAATGTAAAATGAATATGCCCTTTGGTAATTTGCTACACTATATATTATTATATAAATAGTTAATTCTTTTTTATTGGATTTATCACTGTAATAGTAAAATTCTCATAATAAATGAACCAATGTATTTGTGATGATATTTTAGTATACTGACATTAATATCAGCTATTTTCTTTTTATACTCATTTTCATTTTATATTAGACTTTAAAATCTATGTTATAATTGTAATGTTAGTTATTAAAATAAAATATTTTCATTTTCTTTCTATGATTTTATATTTATTATATTTTATTGATTTGTGTTTAAGCAGTGGAATATATAAAGCTTAAGGAGATTTCAATATTTGAAAGTTATGATCACATCAGAAGATTTTATTATTGATTTAAATTCTAAATGTTTAAATATTTTTGAAACCAGCCATTTTTAATTTTTTTTTTTTTTTTTTTTTCCAGAATATTTGGTAGATTTTATTCTTGGAGAATGCAAACTTGAAGAATATCTTGAAAATTATGCTCCTTGTGAAAAGAATATTAACAAAGCTATCAGCGAATTATCTGAGGCTGAGTCTTCTCTCACTCGTGTTGCAATTGGAGAGAACAGGGTAAGATATTACAAGTCAAGATATAGCATTATTGAAAAGCGATTCTTTGCCCAGGAAGTAAAATTAGCATGTTTTATACATACATTAAAATAATTTCATTGAAATTCTTGACATAAATATTATAACCATGTTACTAAATTTGATTAAGAAAAAAATGACAGTATTTAATTTTCACACTTTTATCTGTTTTTCCTTGTGAAATCAGTTTTAGTATAACATTTACTCTACTTCTTTACCTATGAAAGTCAGTGGTTGCAGAAGATCCGATACAACCATATAGCTTCCATCTGGATTTTATTACTTGATAACATATTTTGGATTGTAAGAATAATTCATTTTGGATGTTTTTTTTTGTGAGTGAATATTGCATTAACAATTTTGTGAGAATAACAATGATTTTCTCAAATCCATGTTCTGCTATTTAATCTATCCCTGGGGGGATGGATTTATACCTTTCTCAAGGGTATTTGTGTGTAAGTGAATGTAACAAATCTGACTGAAACGCAAACTCTGCTCTGCAAAAACATGCTTCCCAAGGATAAAATGATGAGAGTTCAAGCCTTGCCAAAATCTCAATTTTTAATTTTGATCTGCATTGTCTGTAGAATGACAGTTTGAGTATAATAAAAAGTAATAGAAAGCAACAAAAATTACGATGTAATAAATACTTGTCAAAAATTAGTAAGTAACCTGTGCCTATCAAAATAATTTTTGTATATAACAATGTTCATCAATTTAGTGAAAGATGTGTTGGTTTAACACTGACTGTTATGTCTACAAAGGATTGATGGATATACATTATATAGACCTTTTGTGATATCACACATATTCTACAAACTAACTTAGCTACATTTTTATGATGATATTAATAGGCAAAAGTGAAAATGTTTCTTTACTTTGTAACCTCTTATCACTGGTAAACTTAACATTTCAACTTCCATTTTGTATTGTTGCAGCATTAGAGACAACAGATCATTTATGTGTATCGGCAGTAATTAGTAAAATATTCAGTGTTTATGGCTAGGCAAGTTGTTATCTGCAGAGTTTGCAAAAAATTAGTAAATCTTCAATTTTCAACTATCAATATGGAGAAGCTACAGTTTTAAATACTTAAATTTTGTAATATTTATGGGTAAAAAAAGATGGTTTTAAAGTATGCAAAAATAAAAATAAGCATTTTTTTTTTTTTTAATTCAAATTGAAAATGCTCTTAATTATTTTTTTTATTGGTTATTATATATATATATCTATATACATATACATATATACATATTAAGTATTTTAAATTTAAAACTAATATACATCCATTTTTTACTGTATATGTTTGTATCTTTCAGTTTAAATTTGATGCACAACTGTTACTGGTAAAAATTAATTACTGCAGAGGTAATTACACTGGTGCCTATGCCCTTTTAGATAAAGCTGGTATTGATCAGGTCACAGTCATATCACCGTCAATTCGTTTTTTGCGCATCCTTGCTGAAGGATATGCTATTAAAGGTGAGTTTAGATAAAAGCATTTTCACTTGGACATTTTTTTTTTATGTAATACTGTTGATCTCTTTAAATCTATTACCTCAAAATTGATAGAAGAATCACCTTTTTAAGTTTGATTGTAAAAATTCAAATTATACTGTCTTTTATAACAATTTGATTAACAAATTATTTTAATATAGGTGTCATTTCATCTTTTTCCCGTTTCTTTTTTTCTTTACTAAAAAAAAAATCTGCATTGTCTGTGTGTCTATACACACACACACACACACACAATATTGTAAACATAGAAATCAACACTGCATAAATCTACAAATGACCCATCCCTCCTGATGTTAAGCATACTTTCCCATAAATATAGCCAATTTTAAACAATTTATTGTTTATATTTTTTTTCTTTTGTTTATTTATACATGATAAAAATACAGTTTTAAGGTATGCTATATTTATGGGTTAAAGTGCTCAATATCAAGGATAGGGTGTATGTAAATATATAAGTGGACATAAATTTAAAAGTGGATCCGCATTTATTTCCACTCAATAGGCCATAAAATAATTTGAAACATAACTGTTAATGCTTACCCAATAACCATTGGAATAAAACAGTAGACCTACACTTAATGCACCACTCACCAGCATTTATATAAATGATTGAGACAGTAACTGTTGGGAATTGACTGCCATGTCCACTTATATATATATATATATATATATATATATATATATATATATATATATATATATATATATACACACACACACACCGGACTCTCCTGTTAATTTTCACAAATGAGGGTACAACAGCTGAGTTCTTACCACCAAACAGCCAGACTATTCATACATATGATTTAATTATAGTGGTGAGGGAGCTTGTGCAGAATCAGCTACACTTTTCAAAAGAACTGAATACGCTCTCAGGTTTTCAATTCTGAGTTGTCCTTCTTGACTGGTTGCCAACCATGGCTATAGGACCTAGTCTGTCCTGCTATTTATTCATAGCTGGGTAAAGAAGAGATGGGTTCATACCTTTCTCAAGGTTATTTATATGTAAGTGAACTCAGCTCTCTGATTTCTGATTCTAAGCCACTATCTATTACTCCACCAGGGATGCATGCATATATATATATATATATATGAAATTACCTTTAAAATGATGAGATAGTTTTCTTGAAAGTATTAAGCAGAATTAAAGAGAAGAGATAAATGTCTACCAAAATAATTACTCTGAAAATACAAATCATTATTTGCAGGCTTTTGTTGCCAAATAAAAAAAAAAAAAAAAGGTAAAACTATGATGATGTTTCAGAAATAGAAAATGCCTAATAATTTGTACAATAATTGGGTGGAAATCTTCCTGTGACACTGTCTCTCTGGAAATGGTATATTTTTAATTATGTAGCTTTTTATTATCAGGTGATATTTGAGAAGTGTTTGAGTTTCTTGAAAACCCCAGGTGGTAATATTTACTCTGTTGATATTGCCAAGCAAAACAAAGCTTAGAAATGCATTCTATATAATGACTGTTGCCAAAAAGAAGAATGGAATGCAACACCTGTTATGAACATGTCTCTCACCTGTCAGTTAATAGAGTGGCAAGTATAACAGGTATTGTGTGTAGGAGGATGGAAGCTTCCTGGAATATACTGTTGCATAATACTAAACAGACAGAAATGGAAGATCGTTGACCAGATACAATAGTAATTTACTGGCATTGATGATTCCAAAAACTTTGCATTTTGAAGATTTTGCTGGATTAAGCAAATCTTAGTTCAATAACACACCATTGTCACTCGATTCGGTTCAGTATTTTACCATTTTTTTTTGTTTTTCAATTCTTTTTATTTAATAGAATTATTATAACTATTCTTTATTTCAGTGACATCATTTACCTTCTGGATATAGGTGGTCATGGCTTTCCACAGATTCTTTTTTTGTTTTAATATCTATGAATTGTCATGATTTCTTAGGAAAGATAGTTCCTGGTGGACCACAAAAGTTTCACCATTGCCTTTTCTATAATTTTAAATTCTACTAGATTAGTTGCTGTCAAGGCTAATAAGCTCAGTTTGCTCTGTTATTTAATCCATAGCTAAAGGGAAAAGAGATTGTGTCATGTATTTCCTAACTGAATATAACGGACTTTGTCAGGATTTGAACTCAGCTTTCTGATTCCATTTCCTGTGCTTGTAATTGTCAAACTACTGACATGTCTATTATTTCTATAGAATATTAATAATTTTCTTTTTTTTTTTTTTATTTATCATTAGAATTTGACAAACAAGTGTCAGAGATATCATTAGTGCATTTGTTAAAATGTTGTGTTGATGTGGACTAGTTTTATATTTAATAGTAATACTGAAACCTCTCTTTTAGAAATTGTTGAAATTGAAGTAAATTGTAAGCAAAAACAAGCCAAAAGTATCACAAGAAAAACAATTCAAACTTCTGTGGGCCACATTACAAGGTATGATAGCCTGTGCCATACCACCATGCAAGGCACCATTGTGGACGTAGGAGTGGTTGTCAACGTAAAAACCAGTTGGACAATGTCAAACAATGGATAGGCATGATTACCAGAATTGCTGATGTCTGCCATTGATAGACTGTTGTCGAGGAGATTTAGTGTGGCTTCTGTATTTGGATCCCCCCTATGATTACAAAAATCAAGGAGATGATGATCATAATCATCATCACAAGTAATATAAATTCCCACTATGTAAGTTAGTCTGGTTATAATAGAAATTTCAAGACATCCACTGAATTTTGTTAAGACTAAAAGAAATTTCAAAGCAACAGTAACTGGAATATTGGTGTTGTACATGTTGATAAACTACAAATCTTTAAATAAAGATTTTGTTCAGGATAACAATGGTTAAAAGGCAACCACCATTTCATGGATGCAAGCAGGATTTCATTGTAGATCTAAAATTACACTTTTGTTAATTTCAAATGAAAATGAGGATAATTTATTCATAAATGATGCTAAACCAAAAACAAGTATGTTTTCTGGCCCTATCAAAGACAATTCTGATAGAGATAGACATGATTCAAGAATATGACTTTAATCATCTCTATCTCTGGCAGATTGAATAGTAAATGTTGATATTTGACTTAAACTCCTGGGTGAAAACAGGTAGAATACAAGCTATGAGTAGTAGACATGTAGACATGTTTACTGTAACACCATTTAATGAAGAAGCCATACAACTGGAATGATATATATTTATAGATTACGGAACTTGAAGATATAGTAATAATCTTGGGCATCAGCTATAGCATGATGATTAGTAAACTTGTATTCTAAATCACTTGGCTGTTGAAGTGAATTCAGTTCTCACTGGGTGCCCTGTTGTTGTAGACATGTGACAGATTAAAAATCTTTAAACTTTCAATTTTTTTTAATATAATTTTGCAATGTTTCTTCAAAAAATAATTTCTGACTTTGAATAACCTAATAATTGATAAGCTGTAAAAAAAAAAAAAATCAATCCTGTTATGTAAATAATTACTACTGTTCTATTACTAGTTTGGTTGAGTAGATCACTTTAGCAATTAATTTCTGATTAAGAATGTAATCAACTGGAAAAAAAACTGGGACCAAACTACTGGTAGTGATTTTATAAGTATCATTTATGTTGATATTAATAGTTCTTGTGATTCAAAGTGATGTTTTATTTTTGAAAGCCAATGTATTTTAAGAAATGATAAACTGGTTTCATGACTAGTTGTAATACGACAATTTTTAAATTATTTTGTATTAAATTTTTTCTAAGTAGGAATAAGAATTACATTTAAAATAAAATTTTAAATTGTTGGCAGTAAAATTGTAATCATAACTTTTTATTTATCACTTAATGTTTTTCCTTTGTAATTTTCTTAATAATTTATTTCAGGTCTCTGTTTGGAGCGAATGCCTCCAGCCACAACTAGCAAGTACAAAGCAGCTGAAAAAGAAGAAAAGATTATTTATTACTTTGAAAAAGCTGGAGACTTAGCTTTACTTCATCTACAAGAACAGGAAAGAAGCCAAATCAGTGGACAAATGGCTGTTGGACAACTTCCCATTTCTCCAGTGAACTCAAATGATGTTGGACTCATTCTTGAAACTGCTATTCAACAGGCACCAATTTTACATATCAAAAATGGGTGGGTGATTAGTTTTGCCATCTGTTTAAGATATTAATCCATTTATACCTTTTTTTTTTTAAAAAAAAGTTTTAATATTATAGAAACAAGTTAGATTCCAAGACTTCATCTAAAAGAGTTTTGAAATAAATAAATTGTTGTTGATTTAGATTTCAGTCCTCTAATTAATGTAAATCAAAGTAATTTTGTTGTTAATTAATTCATATATTACTTTTTGACAATTATTTTTCAGATCCAAAAAGAAAGAAAAGATAATCTGACATAAAGTATTCACTATTATCTGCAGCAGGTTATATCATTTCACAGTAGAAATGGGGTGGAAAATATTACAAATTATGTCATCTCAAATTTTGAGAAAAAATATATATTCATAAATTGATCATAATAAAATGAGTCTAAAATAACCATTATTATAATGAGTGAGAAAAATCTTTGCATCTAAACTTTTCCTTATTTAAAACAAATGTGAAAGCTAGAGAAAAACTTTGAATATTAGTTTGGACATATGTGTTTTATTATATTCTATTATATATCTCTGCTGGATTGGAATTAGCACTAAGTGCTAGTTAGTTTATAGCACAAACTCTAGAAACTGACATTTATTGGTGTATGAAAAAATGTGTATGTATGTATGTGTGTGTGTGTGTGTGTGTATATATATATATATATATATATATATATATATATATATATATATATGTCAACAGCAGGCAATGTAAATTTTGTAAAGATGTATAAATATGTCTACAGCAGTAAGTGTTAACAACTGACGGACTTTGATTTGAATACTTATTCTTTTATTTACATTTTTAAGGAAACTTGCTTGTGGAATTAGCAGGTTCCGGGAATTATTACGAGCTGTAGAATCCCGATTTACACAAAGTTTAAGACAGGTAAATTTTTATTTTTGCTTTTTTCTCATTGGTTTTATTAGTTGCATCTACCTATGTTATATACGGTTCTTTTCTAAGTAGTCTTCTTTTTTTTTTTTAGTAATTAGTCATAATACCAAACACGGCATAAATATTCTAAGGATTGTTTACTTTCAAGTTGAAACAGTCACATTTGAATGTATATGAAATGCATGATTTAATATTTCAATGTTTTATTATAGTGATTTCTTTGTTAGGATGAAATCAGTAAAATGTGTCCATGTGTCCAACTATAAGAGTTTCCCATGTGTTTGACTTAAGGAGAATTCACTGTATACACGGAATAATATGAATATAAAGAATATTACAAATTATGTGATTTATAATCGATTAAAACTAGCTTTTAAAAATAAGAAATAACATTTTGTAGTGTAATATATGAATAGCCTGCATTTATTTTATCTATTATTCTTACAGAACACATTTACAATAATTCCATCAAATCAGTTTTATCAAGAAATTAAACATTAATTAGTTAAGTCATTTTTGCAATAAAAAATACATTTGGCTTTTATATGCATTAAGCTATAAGTACACATAGGTTATCATTTTTAAAATGCATTTTTTAATCCAGCATTATTTCTTATTACTATAAATGTCATTAGTGGGTGCATGTGTTTCAGTTGCTATTTTTTTATTATTTTTTTGAAACAGTAAAAATTATTAACAACTGACCTAGATTTTTTAATCTAGGCTTGTTGTTATTAAGTTCAGTATTTAAGAAAATAACAAACAGGGAATAAACTCAAACATGTTTATGCACTAAAAATAACGTTTATAGTAATAAGAATAATCCTTTATGTAAAAATGTGTGATTGAAATTTAATGTATTTAAAAAAAAATGCAAATAATTTCTAATGTAATCATTTTCATTAATTGTTGCACGTTAAAGAACAAAAAAATTTTAATTGCTATAAATAAATAAATGTTTACTTCTTTTAGTAATATATATGATGAATATAAATATAAAAATATGTGAGAATTAACTGTTTATTTTCTCTGTTGCTCTATTTGAGATATTGGCTCGTCAACTAGCAGAAGTCTTATTGCGTGGTGTGTGTGAAAAGACTTACATTAAACTGGATGTAACTCAAGGAAGTGGAGAATCTGATATTCAGAATACCAATAATGCAGTACCAAGGAAATATGCAGGAGATAAGTAAGTATAGGCAAATGTATCAGAATCATCCCTAAAAAATTAAGAGTACTATTTTGAGATTATAATTATTTTATTTATTGATATTTTGAATAAATGCTAAAATAAACTGCTAAATTAGTATAAAGATTTCAAGCACCCTACTATATATACTTATATTTAAATTGTTTCTCTGTGATTTCACAAAACTTGGGCAATCACTCAGATCAAATTGCTCTCTCTCACTCTCATATACGTGTACACACACGCTTACATGTATCATTAAAGATGACTGACAAGGTACTGTGATTAAGATTTTTATTTTTATTTCTTTGCAAGAAAAATTGAATAAAATGCTTAATCTCAGTACCTTGTTAGTCTTCTTTAATGAAAATTGTATTTGTGTGTACATATATACATGTGTGTGTAAACATTTCTGGTCATGTATACCTGTAAAAGGATTATGAATAAAGACAAAAAGAAAACTCATCTTAGCTGACGTGTTTATTCTCTGATAAAGTCATACAGAGGATGAAACACATTGGCTTAGTTTCTTTACGTCTTTTTATATACACACACACACACACACACACCAAGAGAAAATAATTTTTTTAACATGTGTCCAAGATAATTCAACAAAGTTAAAATTTCTAAAGATTACATAAAAAAATAAAAGTGATTTTGTTTACTGTTGCTGCTGGAGGATGTACATGTGATGTAATACCGGCTCAGAATGAGGAATTAGAGAGCTGAATTTGAATTCCAGTAGGTATGTTACATTCACTTATGAGCAAATACCCTTGGTATGAATCTATTGCTTCCCCCATCTATGGGTTAATTAGTAGGATTTGCATCTGGAAAAATCATTGTTATTCTCAAAAAAAAATTGTTTATCCAAATCCACTCACAAAAAAAGAATTATTCTTACAATCAAAAATATGTTTCAGCTTTAAATAACCCACAAAGTATTGATAAACCATAAAAAACAAATCAATCACTCAATCACTGTTACAGTAATACAGATCTACTATAACTTTCTATTGTAAAGTTATTGTTATAACACGTACTTGGTAAGTATTCTCTATATGTAAATACTTAGCCAATTGCTGTAATGCCTGTATAGTTAGTATGAAGACTGACTCCAATATGACTACCCTTGGCCTATACCATGGAATTCTTTATATTATTAGATGAGTTCATAGTCACCAGGAGTGTACACTTTTCTTCATGACTTCCCGCTTTTGAGATTACTACTTTATTAAATAAATATATTTTTTATTTTTACTTTGTATTAGTATCTCCCTCTCCTTTTTCTGGAGAGTTCACCAATGTACTTTACTTTGTAGCATTTCTGTCTTGAATTCACTTCTAGTTCTTCTGTATGTTTTCTTTTTCTTGGACTTGTTCTTGTTGGTTCCACAATTTGTTTTGGTACTGGCACATCAAAAATGTTGTACAGTATTTTAACTGGTTCTTCCGGTCTTTCATCAGTTAATCTTTTCTTCAGCTGATTTTGGTACCTTTTCTGTTGTAATTTTTTTCCTTTCATCATGTAGACCAATTTTCCAATTCTAGCTGCTATTATGTTTCCCATGTTTCCTTTCCATCATTGTATGCTCTAAAGAATACTTTATCGCCTGCCTTGAAAGTATTGGTATCACTTTTATTAACCATATTTGATTTTTATCTTGGCAATAACTCGTCAAACACTGATTTTACCCTTCTGGCAAACATTAATTCTGTCGGCGACATGCCTGATGGTGTATTGGGGTTAGGTGTTAACTGGTACAGTCTCAAAAAACTTTGAAGTGCCTCCTCATTTCATTTGTCTAGACTTGTTTTTTTCAATACTCTTTTGAATGTTCCCACAAACCGTTCTGTTTGTCCGTTGGACCTTTGGTGATACAGTGGGGTCATAATATGCTCTATAGAGAACAACTTGCAAAAGTCTTGAAATACTTTTCCAGTGAATTGCGTTCCATTATCTGATACTATGGTATCTGGTTTGCCATTTCTTGCAAACAGTTCATACAAGAAATTCACTGTCACTGAGGATGTTGAATTTTGCACTTATAAATTTCTGGCCATTTCATAAAACATCAACTACCACAAGATAATATGCTCCATCTATAGGACCTGCAAAATCTATATGCAATCTTGACCATGGAGTGTCTGTCTTTAGTCAAGGTTCTATCTTTGTGATCAGTAGTTTTACTGCTAAAGCTCAACCTTTACTTGCTTTTATTACATTTTTGATATCTTGGTCCATTCCGGTCCAGTTTATAAAATTTCTCATGAGAGATTTCATTCTTGAAATGCCAGGATGTCTGGAATTAAAATCCTTTAATATGTTTCTGTAACGCCCTTGATATAATAATTCTTTGTCCGTACATTATTTATAATACCATTGCATATTGAATACAAGTTCAATTCCTGATTCTGTTCTTTTTTAATTTCTTTTTATTGCTTCTTTATTTTAGCAATAAAGATGTCTTTTTCTGCTTTTTGTTTAATTTCATCCAGTGTTGTTGGTAATTCCCATACTACATTGCACAGAATGTTTTTAATTTCCATTTTGCTTTTTAGCACTTTTATGTCCATGTCCTACAATGGTTCTGTATTTTTAGATATTAACCTAGATAATACATCCGCATGTCCTAATTTTTTAGGCAGTTGGTACTCCATCATAAAATTATAATTGAACAGGATGGTACTCCAGTACTGTAATCTGTTAGCTGTAGGGGTAGGTAACCTTTCTTTTTTTTTTTTTTTTTTTTTTTTTTTTAAACCATTTATTGCTAATAATGGTTTATGGTCTATTTGCAATGTTAAATTTCTTCCATGAATAAATTTATGGAATTTTTTTGTAGTGAATATGCTTCTTTCTCTGTCTGGCTGTAATTCCTCTCTGTCAGGAGAAGTGAGTGTGAAGCATGATCAAAAGCTTTTATTTTACCACCATCGTATTTGTGTAAAATCACCGTTCCAACACTGTAATCACTAGTATCTGATGCTACTACAATTTTTGCTTTTGCTAACGATAAATCAGACATAAAACTTTCCTTTATCTCATCAAACGCTTTTTGACATTTATGATTCCAATTCCACTTTACTTTTTCAGTACATTGTTAAGTGGAGCTGTCAAATTATGTATATTATGTACATAAATTCAATAATAATTAGCCAGTCTTAAAAAAGCTTGTAACATAGTTACGTTTGTTGGTGTAGGCATATTTCTAATTGCATTTGCCCTTAACTAATCTGGTTTCCTACCATTTTTATCAATAATTTGACCCAGGTATTTTATTTTTGGCAAAAAAATTCACATTTTTTTTTCCACTAAGCTTGACTTTGTATTCTCTTAGTTTTTGTATAATTGTTTTGACATACCCAACATGTTCTTCTTTCAACACACTCTTGATCAAAATATTGTTCAGATACGCCATTGCAAAATCACAATCAACCAACATGGTAACTGTTGTGTACGATACACCTAATTTACATAAGTGGAGTACCGACCATATAAATATGGGTTGGTACCGGAAGACGGGTGAAGATTAAGAGATCGAATCGAGAGACTCTGCCCGACTGCGATTTAGTCAACCCATTATGCAGGAACAGTCTTCCCAAGAATATACCAAAACTAACTGTAAATATTGTGTACCTTTTCCTTGTTTCAATACATTTTGTTAACGACATTTTGTGTTGTATTATTATTATTCCATGCTTATCCAAGTTTCAACAATGGCGACGAGGTATAAAGAACTTTACGTTACGAAAAAAAAAAAAAGAATTAATAATTGATAGCCTTCAAACAATTGGGACAAGTGAAAGAACCCAGGCTGAAGAAAAAAAAAAATCATTAATTAAAAAGTCGAACATCTAATGGAACGGAAAAGTATTCTGAAGTTTGGACAGTTAAAACTAGTTAAAGGACGACTAAGCTTAAAGGAACGTTCACTCAGAAAAATCTGGAAGGTGGCGTAAACAAATAACAGCGAAAAAAAAAAATGCTGGTCGACTAAAAAAGAAAAAAGAAAAAGAAAAAAAAAGCTGGCCGACTAAAAAAACATGCATGGAATTAAAAGGAGCACAAATACAACGTGTCGATTTTGAAACGTAAGCGAACTTGTAAAAAAAAAAAAATTTGTTATTTTTTGTTTGTTTGGTTGCTCAACAATATTTTATAAAGCAAGACATAAAATTAAAAAAGGTGTATGTTGTTTCAATTTTGTTTTGTCTGTTTATAGTATATTCGTGGATACACAATTTAAAAGTATATTCTTTGTTGCATGAACACTATCAGTTAAAAATGGAGGAATTATCCAAAGTCATAGCTGAATTGTTTAAAGCCCAGCAGTTGAGTCAAGCTGAGTTAGTCAAATCCCAGCAGTTGAGTCTGCAACAACAAAGTAAACAGTTTGCCTTATTAAGAGAACAGCAATTAGCACAGCAGAATTATAAAGAAAGGCAAGAGGAGTTGAGTCAGCAACGTCAAAGGAACAGGAAGAAATGTATGTCAAGGTTTTGGAAATTCAAAAGTTAACATTGGAGAAATTAAACAACATTCAGGCAAATGAAAGTAACTCTTCATATTCTAATAACATCATATTTAATTCGTTGGAAACTTTCAACTATGTGCCAGACGAAGGAAAAACGTTTGAAGCGCATTTTAAACGATATGAAGATATTTTCCACACAGACTGTGAAAACTGGTCGAATTCAAGAAAAGTCAGTCTATTACTAAGAAAGCTAGGTACAGCAGAACATAGCAAATTTGTAGATTTTATACTACCGAGAAGAACAAATGAATTGGAATTCTCGGAAACAGTGAAATTGCTAAAGGAGTTGTTTGGAGCAAATATGTCGCTTTGGCATAAGCGATGGTTATGCATGAATGTAGCTAAATCCGACGATCAGGATTACTTATGCATCTATAGTGAATAGACATTGTGACAATTTCAGATTGGCAGAGATTACGGTTGAAGAATTCAAGTGTTTAATTTTTGCTCAAGGACTGGTAT